GTTGGTTCAGGCTTTTGGGAGTCATTAATCTAGCATTTTTGACACAGCCCTCCTTTTTTTTTTTTTTTTTGAGATTAGGAAGGGGTGAGGGGAGAGCAGCAGCAGCAGCACAGACATTGGTTAATAAAATGCTCATTGAACTGATGGCTTCTTAATGATTTTTTGCTAACTCAGAAATCTTACTTTTATAGAATGGACTTTGATGACGAAGATGGTGAAGGTCCCAGCAAATTTTCAAGGTGAGCTTTATAACTAACCAGCTTGTACGATTGGCTTTTTCAGTGGAATAAAAAACCAAGCACACAATTAATATTATACAAAACTCTAATCCCATCAGTTGAAATATGTTTGGTAGTGTTGCCAGCAGAATGTCCTGACCTCTATCTAGTTACCTTACAACTTTCTCTGCATTGGCAAATAAGGCATACAACACAGTGGTGCATAAGGAGCCAGTAAGGAGAACGGCATGCATCAGATCTCAGCCCACGGATAATCATGCACTAGAGGAACAGTTTGTTCAAGCAAAACTTTTCAGATAACTGCTTACGTAGCTGTTGCTTTTCAACAACATACAGTATGTGCATTTTAATTGCTTCTACACCTACTGTCATGTAAACCACAAAAACCACAATTTCCTCATCTGAAATTATTTTTTTTTAGTTTCACTATTTTAAATTTGAGAGGTGAACTTCTGTTGCTCATCATTTTTGAACGTCTTTCTGCCACTGAAAATGGGTTTTATATTGATTATCAATTCAAATCTGAACTATTATAATTAAAACATTGGACTTGGACTTTATCTTTTTAAGAGCAAAGTTTATAATCTTGTTTATGTATGTCTTTAGCAGTAACATAATAGCAAATTTGGTTAAAATGGAATGTTGAATATTTCAAATGACATTTTAATATAGAAGTAAAAACAGCCTTATTGTCATTATTCGCCTCTCATTTCAGTTTTGGTCACGTGGTTTGTAATTTCCTATTAAAGAAAAATGGGAGTCACTAAACAGGATTCAGTGATACTGGGTGATTTTGCAAATTGCAGTTGCAGTTATGATGGCAGCAGCTGTGTTTAAACGCAAGGTTCTAGCGTGGTTTTTCTATGTAAGATGGATAGGAATACTGTGTTAGAACTATATGTAGCATGCCTTTTAAAGTCAGTGGTAACTCTGCTTAGCTAATCCAGTTCATTTTTTTTGAGAGCAGTATTTTAAAAAAGTGACCTTTCATGTCTGTGAAATACTTTCAGAGCCTCAGGCAGGTGATGTGGGAGTAAAACATTATGATTTATAATTACCTGATTTGTCCACATAAATTCACAGTTAGTGTTGGGGGGTGATCAGGGTCTAGGTTCAAGGTGATCAGGTCCAAAGGTTCTGAGCCTTTGGAAACTTTACCCTGAGGCTGGGGTTTTTTTTTGGGGGGGGGTTGCAACAAGGATCTTATCTTAATTTGTAGGTTAAGTTCACACGTGCCTGGTGGTAGCCAAGCCTGTTATCTATGCTGTTTTTTAGAGACAGTGCAGAATGTACTGTCTCCACATAAAGCATATACAGTTTAGAAACAAAGGCCATGGAAGTCCTACCTCATCCCTGTTTTCATGGTTTAAATGGAACATAATGGAAGAGAAAAACATGACTGTAATCCTGGGGGAGGAAGTTCAAAGGAAAGAGAAAATCACTCGTAGGAGACTCAGGAGCAAATTCCTTACCTAAGACTCCTTGCAATTTTAAAAAAATTATTCTTTGGTTTTGTTTTCAGTAAATAAATGACTGACTTACACATTGATGGTAGTTAGTACTTCAGAAGAGAAAAAAAATCTTTATTGTCATAGTTACATTTGTGGAAGCTGTAAAGGGCCACACCCTCTAATAAGTATATACCCTGGAAAACAGACCATTAATGCTTAAACACTAATCCTTTTTATTTCCAGCAAATACTTTAGCCTGATTGCTGAGTTCTTGAAACATATGTGCCTAAGCACTTCTTTTAATTCCGGCAATCGCCTGGAAAATTAATAGAGGAGGAAGGAGTTGGGATGCATATCATGCAGCTCACTTAAACTACCCTTTTTGTGTTTTTTATAACCTTTTTCTTGTTCATTGGATTGGATTCTTTTTTTATTTTTGCATGTGCTTTTTTGTTCCATGTATAAAGTTAAATTTCCAAGTCTAATGTGCAAGTGTTGTCCTTTAGCAAAAAAACCCAACATGCAGCCAGTGCTGTTCAGTAGTGAAATACCCTTTTATTCTGTAAAACTTTTTATTTGGATTCACTTAAAAGATTTAAGATTTTTCTGTTTACTGACTAATTGTAAAAAACATGGGTTAATCACTGGTAGTAAGCCATGAAAAATGTATGCTTGTATGGTAGGATTTAGGCTTACCTTTTATGAAGGCTGCAGCTATTAGAGTAGTGGTTCTCAAATTTTTTTGTACCAAGACCTATTTGTAAACACTGATGACCAGTCTTGACCCAATGCCACTCGCTCCCAACCTGCTGCCCCCTGCCCCTAGACCCCCAGTATGTGGAGCCGGGGGGTGGGTGTGTGGGACGTGGGGGGCCCCATGAAGCCCCTGGCCGGCTGGAAGTCTGCCAGCCTGCAAAGGAAAAGCCATGGTTCCCCACACTTTTCTCTTTTAAAGGAAGATCCATTTTTAAAGTTTGTTTGCAATTTTTTATATGCTCTTGTGACCCATTGGTTAAGAAACGCTGCACTAGAAGGTAAAAGTTATGTATACCTAGAGGGCTTTGTGTTTTAGCTTGTAAATACTTCCCTTCTGAGATCTACATGCATGAAAGTAGGTCTAATGCTCTGTCCAAAAGAGGTCACACTGACACCTGTGTGCATTGTGAAATGATAGTCAGGAGCGTGAACAGAGAAAATTTTATTTTATGCCATGTTACACTGTGGTAGCATATAAATAATGGAGGACATGACAGACTCCATGAGATAGCATCCTGCTTTTAGGTATATGTACCTATCTTCCCACACTGTAGATGTGTCACCACTGCCCTCTGCAGAATTCAGTGGGTAACGATGACTTCAGCCTGCAGTCCCTTTCAGCTCTAGGTCAACTACTAATGCAACTATGAATATTTCAGAGGTAGCTCTTAGTAACAGATAAATGGTTCTTTGTATAATGGGTGTTGCTCAGTTTCTCAACCAATAAACAGAAGGCTCATGTCTTTTAAGTGAATCCAGTGGGACATATTTTGACTTTCTAAATATTAATAAGTAAAAAGAGCATTTAACAACAGGATGTCGATTGTTTAATACGTTTCAGCAGAGCCTACTTTTTCCTTTTGTGTTTTATCATGTCCATTGCATCATCCTTCTCGTGCTATAATTTATAGTTGTTATGTACAAGCAAGTGTCTTGTTGGCCTTCTGCTTTGTGTTTGACTAATATTGTTTGCACAAAACCTTTGAATTTACTTACTGTCTTTTCTTTATAGGTATGATGATGATCAAATCTCTGGTGATAAGGAAAAATTTGCAAGGTAGGCGTATTCTATAGAGATCTTCTGCTGAGAGAAAAGAGGGTGATAGTCGTATCCAAAAATTTCTCAGTCTGTGCACCTTAGCTTAGAGAGCTGGTTATTTTGTTTCTAGGTGGCATGATGGTCAAAGTACTGGTGACGCAGAAAGGATGGCCAGGTAGGAGAAAGGAAAACGGTTTGCCCCTTTTATTTTACGTAATACCATTCTCACTGGTCATGCACCAGCAAGATCTGGGGCGTGAGTCGAAGCTTAATGAAGTTAATAGGAGTTCTTCTGGCAATCACTGACTTCTGTGGGCTTTGAATCAGCCCCTTCATACCCCAATATAATACCCTTAAAACAGTCTTTTAAAAGTCAAATAAGAATTAATTCAGTGCCCCATCTTGTAACCATATTTACAAATGTAAATGCTTCCAGGACCAGACCTTTTATAAGAGGAGCATATTTCCTCTTCCTATCTCCCAAGCTCACACTGAGTGAAATTCAGGACAGTGCATATGTGTTTGCCTAGTTGAGTCTTTAGGCAACCTATAAATTAAGGCAATACTGTATATTATTATAAAATAGTGAAAGGGGTGTTAGATTTGGTCACACTCTTTCCATCCAGAAGGTCCTGCTATCTCTTTTTTCCCAAGCTGTGCATGCGTGTGCTTGAACGATGTAAAGCAGCATCATGTGATAGTGAGAAGCACTATATATTTCTTAAGAATAAATTTCTAAGTTTCTAAAAAAAAAAATTATATATATGCAGTATAAGCTCACACATCTACGCTCTTTTTTGCACCATTTTTGTGAAAACTTGTAACTTGAAAATTGTATAGGCTTTCATCATGTAAAACAGCAATGATTTCCTCTTGTTCACACTTGTGCACAAATATACATACATACATGTCTGCTGTTATGTATACATGCAAACTACAGCAAAAGCTTTGTTATCTAGCAGCCATGGGAAATGATGGGGTGCCAGATAACCAAATATGCCAGTTAACTGAGAGGCCCGAACAGGGGTCTGTTGTCTGTTCAGGCCACTGGTTCTCCCGCTGTGTCCGGGGCTTTGCCACCCCTCCCGCCACATCACTGACCCTCCCACGGGCCCCGAGGGACAGGGAGGTGGACCCTGCACAAGCTGCTATGCCCCGGGCTGTGGGGGCTTGGCAAAACTGGAAGTGCCATGGGTGGGCACTTCTGGTTTTGCTTTTACCTTACAAGCTGGCATGCCGATTAATAGAGCGTGCCAGCTTGTAAGGTGCTGATTTAAGGAAGCTTTTACTGTATCTTCTTCATGTTCAAATGCATTGTTCCAGTCCTGCAGTCTGATACATGCACATACATGCCACATACAGGTGTTAAGTTTCTACTGGGAGAATTGCAGCTTTCCTGGTCCCCATACCTTCCTGAGAAGGGGGTCACCCTGGTTTGGGAAAGGCATGGGGAACAGTTGCTGCTTACCTCTTACCTGTCCCAGCAGTAGTTGAGTAGTGGGGAAAGGCTCCCTTGTCTTCCACAACCCTGGTCACCCCTCTGGAGAAGATGTGGGGAGGGCAGCTGCTCTTACCCTTCATGTAGTTAGGATGAGGAAGGAAGGAACAGCCACTCTTTGCTTCCTGCCCACTCCTTAGACCAGGGTCACCAGTCTGAGGAGCAGGTTGGGAGCTTTGCCTGCTGCTCCAGTCCCTTCCGCCCACCAGCTGGGATTAAGATGACTGGAGCAGTTGCTACTTTCCATGCTTTCTGCAGCCTGGGATTACCCTGGTTTTAGAAAGGTGCAAGAAGCAGTGGGGAGATAAGCAGCTGCAGTCTGAATGCTTGTACTGCTTCCTCTCCCTGAAACATGTTTCTAGCAGTGAAAAATTTCTACCATTAGAAATGAATGCCTGTTTGTGGCTGAAGACTGTTTTAAACCTGCAAGTACTCCGGTAGAAAAAATGTGATAAAATTTGAAGTTGACTTTAACCAAGGGAAGTCATTTAGCTTACTTAAGATGAGCTGACACTGCAGTATGTTTGTATATATTGTTGCTTTACTCAAAAGACCTTAACATCCATTTGAACAGTGAATGTGGGGAGAGAGCCCTAAAAAACATTATTTTTGTGACAGATCTGTTACACTTGCACATGATAACTTACGGGTATGGTATGTCTTCTGAAGCACCAGAGCCTTTGCATACTCCCATGCTTCTAGATGTTTATTGACTGCTTGATTATTAGAATATTTTGAGTGAAGAACATAATGCAACTTGGACGTCTTCTAAATTTGAAAAAAAATGCTTAGCTGTTAAATTAACTGCAAAGTATTTTGAGCTCTGAAAAGTATTCTGAGCTATGCTTCCATTTTCATGAGTTGCTCCCTGATTATTCAGCCCTAATTTATGCTAAATCAGAATACCTTAGTCTCTTCTAAGATTGTACCCATCAGTGTTAGTGGATTCTCCACCTGCAACTTCACATCTTGTTGGGTCAGTCAGCGATCCCACAAGAGAATCTGCACATCTCATGGCAGTCAGTGGAGGATGCTGCTTCGACATCAGAAGTGGCATGTACTTGTCCTGTACTTGTTCTTATCTGCCACCTGACAGGTACAGTATGCTGCTGCCTATTCAGAAGCTAAAGGCATGCATCTCTATAAGTGCAGTTTTTTGTATGATCGGTATAACTTCATTGATCTTGACATATGTTGACTTATACCAGATGAGGATTGAGCCCACAAATCCTAGCTTTATAGCTGTTAATTGAAAAATCCCCAAGTTCAGTTTGCTGACTCTGCAATATGCTTGTAATTGCAGATCTGGGCATCATGAATAAAATGAGTCAGTGATCCCTGTGGTTGCAGGGTTTGGGGAAGTTACAAGTGGGAGAGGAAATAAACCCTTTATTTGCTGGGTGTTGTTTTGCATATTTGGATATTCATTTCATGGGTGTATTGAGAGTTGTCTCTCACAGTGAAAGTTGTTGATTATAGGCTAAGTGTAGAAATGGTATTCCCAAGCCCACTAGTTTCTTTAAACATTTATGCAGGTTTAAAACTTACTAACTTACCCAGGTAAAAGAACACATTACTTTAATGACCATTTTCCCCAAGTAAAGACTTCAAAGTGTGGCTTTGTATGTAATGTCCCCTATGCCAGGCACACATTAAAACCAAAGCATAGTGGTTTTATATATATTTAAAACTAATACTGTGCTGAACCCACTAATGTAGTGAAGAACTTGTAAGTACAAATCCCAGCTCTAGCAGTGACTACCGACTTCCTTTGTAACCATAGTCAACTTGCCTCTGTCAGCTCTGTAAAATGGAAAGGCTCTGAAGATGCATAAGAAAATCTGTGTAAACCTTTCTGAAGATAGTTATTTGAGTGTGGAACACTGTCATTATTTTATCAGTATATTTGGTGGTTTATATTCTGCATCTAGCAAGCCAGTGCCTTCTCAACTTCTTAGTATTTGCTTTGGGTATTTTCCTTTATTGTTTTACCGTAGGTGGTCATGATCTTACAGTCTGATTCATGCAGCCGTTCATTGCCTATGCAGCACTCCAAGACTAAGACCTTGCAGTCTGCTGCTTGGCACTGCAGGACAGGACTCTTAGTTTTACATGACTGATGCTTTACTGCAGACCTTATCCAGCTGCTGGCATCAACAGAAGGGCTCCCATTTATTCAACTGGAAGCTGGATCAGGCCATATGTAGCAACAGGTAACACCTCACTTAAAGACCTAATGCTAATGAGGAGGGCTTAATGTGCCTCTGAAAGATCAGGACTTCACCTGAAGTTGATAGACCTCAGCCACATACTTATTCCTTCTTCTGCAGGCTGCTCTAAACCGAGGCGAAATAACCAGGGGAGTTATTGTCAGGAACTAGTTGTTCAGATATCTGAGTTCTTTTCTGAGCTTTGCTGTTGACTTATGGTGTGACCGTGGGCAAGTCATACTTAACTCTCCCTGTGCCTCAGTTTCCCCACCTGTAAAATGGGGGATAATAATGCTTACCTTTGTGAAGCACTTTGATCTGTTTGGATGAAAGATGCTCTATAAGTGCAAAGTATTATTATTATTATTTACTACATACAGTGGAAATTCTTGCACTGATTGTGTCTTGTTTTCTGTTGGCTTGGTCTTTCTTTATGTGTTTAGGGAGAACCATAGTGAAATTGAAAGACGCCGGAGAAATAAGATGACACAGTACATCACTGAGCTGTCTGACATGGTACCCACCTGCAGTGCGCTGGCCCGTAAACCTGACAAGCTGACAATTCTCCGAATGGCTGTCTCTCACATGAAGTCTATGAGGGGCACTGGAAATAAGTCTACTGATGGAGCATATAAACCTTCTTTCCTAACAGAACAGGTAGTTGCTTCATAAATGTTTTCCTTCCACAATCTGTATTGCTAATACTGTGAAAAGGTTGAGCCAGGATCATCTATCAGTAAGTTCCTGTCTTTGTTTACCTTGTCTCATTTAACAAGAGACCTGAAACACTATTCTGGATATAAACACACACAGGAATTTTGGAAAAATCTGGACTTGGTTCTAAACTACATACATCAAGACCCTGTCTTTAAAACCTCAGAACTGTCAAGTCTGGGTCAGAACTTGGTGACTAAGGCTTCTTTCTAGTGTCTTGTTTGCTGTATACAAAGAGCTATAACTCCCTTTTGTGTGTGAAAGGAGACTAGATTCTGTTGTATCCACTGGCAGCTCCTAATGGCTTCAGGCGCTCTAGAAGTCGGAGGCATGCAACATGCACACTTTTGCTCTGCGCAGTTAAGTGCTTACATATGTAAAGCATGGCTCGAGGCTGTCCATGTTTGTTAAGTAAGCAGCTGTTGGTGTTTGACTCACTGCTCAAGTCTCTGCTTCATTTTTCTTTTCTTTAAACAATAATCACATTCAGAAATGGTGGTGTTATTCGGTATCGTTTACAAATGGGATCACTGCATCTGTGCAAGGTACAGTTGACTGTGTAGTGAGGCAAGCCATTTTAACAGAACTGTCTTGTTTTTCTTTTGCATAGGTATTTCATAAATAAGACAGGTTGGCAAAAGCAGGTGGTTTATCAGTGGTTTTATGGTGGTTAGCATGTCTTAGGTGCTAGTAAGAGTTTATCAGGGTGCAGTGGCAGACTGGCTAAGGTGTCTCTTTGTGGCTTGAGAAATGTGAGTTTGAGGCCTGCTCTGGACTTATGTCAAAGGCTGTCGCCAGTCAGTTTAGCTGTACCTCTCATATGGCCTGTAGAATCAATGGTGCTCTGATGTGGTGCGCTAGTCGTATCACACCTTTAATGTGCTGTTGGCTACAGAAACTGGAATGCCTTGACCATGCTAGCCCTGAGGACCATTAGACTAACAAGGACTTCTGACCTTGATTTTTGATAACACATTATTAGTCTTTGATCAGGAAATGCACCTTCCATGGAGTTCTGTCTGTTCTAAGCCAGGATAGAGCTGGGACTGTCCCACATCATGTCTTCCAGACTAAGCCTCTTAGTGCATCAATGCACGCAGTCAGATGCGAGGAGAGCAGTTGAAGTGTGGTTCCAGGCCTAGTGCAAAGGCATAATTGTTGGTTTGCTGTCTCTTCTGTATCGTAGGCTCAGTCACAGAAGTCTGGGGCAGCTCTTGAAGACCCTGGCTTTGAAGACTGTATGTTTGGTCAGTATTGTGACATAGAAAATAAAAGATGGGGATTTGCCAGAGAAACCTCACTTGCTGTCAGGCAAGCTGCAGATACTGAGTTGTGTTGGTGCTGAATAGTCTTGACTAAGCCAGAATAAAACAATAAGCCATGGTTTTTCCTCCCTATTAACCAAAGTTACTCGTTTAGATATGGGCAAAAAGCTGTGTGCCCCATGCTCTGGCATCTTCTCTATGGTAGTTGGCTTCTGGCAGAAGGCTTGTGAGGTGGACAAGGCTTTAGACACCTCACTCCGGTGGGCAGAGAGGTCCCATCCACTTGGATTTCACTCCTTAGTGATTAGGGCACTCCTTTGGAGGGAGTCCCGAGTTTCAGTCCTTGTTCCCTTGATAATTTCTGTATTTTATCCAATGACAGTTTTGTGTAAAATACAAATACAGTCCTTGAAGCTGTGGCTGTGTCATCCCTATTAAATTTTATAGGACATTTCATAGTTAGTAGGGTCGGAAGGGAACTGAGCAGATCATCA